CTCGGAGAATAAGACACTGCCCAGATCAGCTGATGTAGCCAGATCTGTTGGCTGTGTATCAGGGACGGGGACTGAATACGGATGTCTGGATTTCCTTCCAAGAACTGCTTCTCAGAAGTGGTTCAGATGTAGCCCAGACCAGAGGAAATTAGCTTCTATTTCTAGTACCAAAATTAATGCTCCCAAAAGATCAACTTCTTCTTTTGATAAATACTTATCAGTAATGCTTCCACCACTTGAGATTGCACAAAGGTAGGGACTACCAGCAAGAAAATGCTGAAAATTAGTCCAGTGTGACCATGAGCAAACTCAAGTACTAATCTCCTCCTAAGCCTGTGCTAACAACTGCAAAAAACCCACACTGTATTCCCTTTCTTCTTCCAAGGCCTAGGATATGGTAAGTAATAAGGTCACATGGCAAGCTGCAGTGGTTCAGGTCTAGGAAGGACTAGGAGACACTGTCTTGTCAGTTAACCAGGGACTCCATTACAATATATACAACAAATGCTGTAATTAAGGATAGGTAAGGTTTACTCACCTCTTATTGCTCAACCAGGAACACCAAATAGGTGACTTTGTCCTTGGATGACTGAAACAAGGCATTTTTGCCTGTGAACATAGTTGCTATGCCTACATGGCAAAAATAAAACAATCACGGAGCGTCACATTAGTTTAAAAATTTTATGACACAGTAACGTTTCTCTGAACTTGAAATCCTTTTAGAAGTGGCTTGGAGAAAAAATAAAAGCAGCTTCCAGAGTGCTTCACTGGCACATTAAGTTATGTATTCTAAGTCCTGGAGGTGAAACGTTTTTAGCATTTATGGGAGCTCTGGGCTTCCAGTCCTCATGCTGAGACAGTTACTAATACATGACAGAAAGCATCTGTGATCTACTGCTTGCAGGGTTCGAGCCCCAAAGCATCCAGAAAGCCTGTGCATAATCCTTCACTCACATGGCAGGTTGACTGCACCACGCATAAGTCAATGTGATGTATACACTCTGATATGACAGGTCCAAAATATAATGTACTCTATAAATGATTTGATCTTAATTAGAAGAACAAGGGTCTTTTACATGACAATTTTCTTTTAGAAAAAGGCATAGGGCATTAAGAGATATTAGTGTCAGCATCAGTCCTCATAAAACAGGGACAATATCTATTCTAAGGCTTTTGGGTATAAAGTACACGTTAAAAATGGGATTATGCTACTCTGAAAGGGAAAATGATTGCTACTCTAATTTCCCACTAAACCAGACTGGGGCATCATTATGAACACAGCAGTTCTTTATAGAAAGAGTAACAGCCCAGTATTCTGTTGGAAAATACCTGGTCCATTTCTTTGATGTCCAGGCTACTGTTAGTCTCTCTATGAGTGCACAGGTAAGTACATCCATGCAGGACCAGGGCCAAGCAGCTGACCTGAAGACAGGCCATAACAGACCTTTCTGAATCACAGCCTTTGTCACTTGAATGTTTCTACCCTGCACTGTTTTTTTTCCTGGTGGACTGGATCAAAGCTATCTAGCTGGCAAGAGATTTCATTCACTTCAGTCAGCAGGGAAGTATGTCTGGTTAAAACCTGAATTTCAAGGAGGGCATATTTTCACAACCTTGGTTTTCCTGAGTAATATGATTACTTGTTTTCACCTGATGTGGCATTGGTGCCTGCTATCTAGCAGCTTCTCCCTGTTCGTGCAGTTTCAGCAATTAAGATGTCAGGCTGATAAGTAGGGATATTATGTAAGTGGTGTCTATGGGAATTCTGAGCAGACAAAAATAAACGGAAAGAAAAAAGGTGTTATGATAGTACCTGGAAAAACTATGCATCTTACAAGCAGAAAAGCACATCTCACTTTGCCAGTTTGTCTCAGAGTACTGCATGGGAGAACAGGCTGTGCTCTCCAGTGTTTTGCCTAAGGAAAGCTTTGGGAAGGTCTGCAGCACAGCTTGTGGTTTGTCACACTCCTGCAACTAGAATGCATCCCTGTGGTTCCTCTTGCCTTTCTCAGTCAGCTGCTTGCTTTGAGTTGGGGGGGGGGGGGGGCTTTCTTCTGGAGGAGCTCTGCGTTAGGGAGCTGTGACTGCAAGTCTGAACCACTGAAAGAGTTGTCTTGCTTGTCTCCCTGAAGTCACAGTATGGAAACATGTATGTGAGACCCCATGATCTGGAGAATGGCCTTCCCAGGGACCATCTCTCCTTGCACTTCAGGAGTGCTGACTGATTTTCCCAAATGTAGATAACTCAGCTGGCATGAAATGGAGGTGGAGGGTGTGGAAACTCATACACAGTCTTCCTTGAAAAGAAACAGCTAATGCACACAGCCATCACATGCACAGTTAAGTACATTTCACACACTGAAACACCAGTGGAGGGGAATGGGGTTGCAATCCCCTTAGTTCACCTAGAAAATCTGTGCCTGTTCTCACATGGTGGAAACACACGACCTGAAACACAAGACAGTACATCTGGGAACAGATCAGAATAGCAATTTCCTTTACTGGCTAGATTAAAAATTGTGGAGAACAGACATTCATATCCCAGTATCTGTTGAGGATTCGTGAGAGAATTGTGGTCAGTTTTATCATGTTTGCGCTTAAATTCTCTAATGTGTAGTCCTTTAAACTCAGTTGATATGGAAGAAGCCCTTGATCAGACCCTCTGCCTCCACAAAAACACATTACATTTTTTTATTTTCATCAATGCCAATTCAACTCAATGTACAAGCAGAGCTTTTGGGTTGGAGATTGATAGAAACTGCACTAAAAACATTTTAAAAATAAGTGATACAATTAAAAAACCTACTGGAATTAAAATAGGAAAAAACTTATAACTTAGGCTTGGAGTGCTCAGGCTGGAAATTGGGGTGCTGCTACCCATATGTTCAGTAAGGCCTCTGTGTGAGCCAGAGGCCATGACATTTGTTGAGAGAAAGGCACATCAATTCCAAACACCACATTAGATCATTTTAATGCCCAGAGTTATAAATTGCAATGGGTTGCAACTTGTCGTGGTGACAATCCACACATCCAGTGCTGTTTGGGTATTTTAGTCTTGCAACTGCCTTTTTTCTCCAAATGGGTTGCTCAGCAGTAATGACTATTCAGAGAAAAGTGGCAGACAAGGTCAGGTAGCACCAGAATGAAAAGCGAAAACTTGAAAGATACTAGATGAATATTTATGCAGAGCAATCTTCACTCTCAAATTATGGAGCATAATGGGATCAGCAAAGCTAACAAAATTCATGCTGCGTGAACTTCCTCTGTGAGAACTTAAGTTAATCTGCACATAAGACTGACAACCCGTGAACACAGAGAAAACATTCAATGGCATGTAAAAACTTCATTGAAATAATGTTTCTGACTATATCAGTGTTCTAGCAATGACAGAATAAACAACAATTTTTTTCAGACAGATTTTAAATCCACAGGCCACTTTTTTGAAATGGCATCCAAACATTGTCACAGCAGACTTTGTTCTTTTGTTTTGCTGCCGATTTGGTATGGTAACTGAAAAGCATCCATGAGGATCCAGTAATGAGTACAAGGATTTCAGAACAGCCTGGCACTGAACTGGTGATGACAAGAAGCAGCCAGGCACTGTTTCGCCCTCATATTGAAAGATTTGCCAGGGAATACTTTTCATTGCAAAAACGAATGGCAGTTAGCTGAATTTGGAGAATCTGTCTTATTTCGAAAGATTTTTTTTCTCAAGTATCTTGGTGCACATGGGCAGTGAAATCCACTCCTGTGCTGTAAGGTCAGCACAAGAGCTGCAGATCAGTTTACTTCTTTGGGGGGCTGCAGATTTAGTGCACAGAGAAGTCTGCATTTCATCCACTCTGTATTTTTTGTGAGCAGGTCACAACAAAGACCCGAGAGCTATTACAATCCATCACTATGCACAAATCCCAAAACAGTTGATCACTTGGGGCTAAATACTCATATATTTAGAGAGATAGATAAACCTTTTATGTTTATACAAGGATCTTTAAAAACTTTATTAGTAAGACCAGTTTTTTCCTCCACATTTCTAGAGTATACTGACATTATCACTGTTTTAAGTCTTAATTTAAAAATTAAAAGAACAGTTTTTTTTACTGTCCTTCAATATTTTCTTTTCTGAACTAGGGGCCCTGCTTTGTCCCTCTTCTGAATGCTTCAACACATGTCTAACCTTTCTGAATTCAGGGATATATAAAAAAAGTTTTATTGAATCCAGAGCTCTCTGAGAAACTGCAAAAGAACGCAGGTCCTGCTACCTGAAATATCTGAACCCTTCAAAATATTCAACTTATTACCTGTTTATGTCTGATCTTTTTGCTCCTGAACTTTCACATCTATCATTATCCAAACGTATCAGAAGCACATCAGTCACAGACACAGCCAGCTGCCTTATGTGTGAATTTAATTAAAAGAGAAAATGCAAAATAATATTTTAAAGATGCAGAATTCAGCCCATGCTGGCAATCCGACCTTTCCCTTCCGATGCCAATTCGTTCGAGAGACCAAGCAGTGCCTGCAGGTCGGGGACAGCGATCCTCACCCGGCACACCGGGCCGTCCTTCTCCACACTTCAAGGCCGGGGAAAGCAGTGCTGGGAGGACAAGGGATGGAGTGCTCTGCAGAGCCATTCTCGGTTGCAACAGTCATCGCAATTAATTAATTTATATATTTATTAACATAACACTTTTCATTGGACATTTTCTTTAGTAGAAAGCACTGCCTGAGGCTGTGGGCTCTAGATCTGTTTTCCGTCTGTCCTCCAGCGGGAAGGCGCACGGCAGCCCGGGTGTGACGCTGCCCTCCTGCTCCCTTCTCGCTCGGGCTCCCGGTACCGCCGCCGGCCCTGAGCCCCGGGCGCGCCCCCGAGCGCGCGTGCCCGCGAGCGCAGCTGCCACCGAGCGCGTCTGTTTGTGCGTGCTAAAAATAGACGGGAGAGCCTGACAACTGCGTTCTGATTGGCTACCGCTGAGGAGCCGGCAGCCAATGGGGGCGCGGGGAGCGACAGGGCTCGTGGCGCGGCGGGACTCGGGGAGGATGCGGGCGGGAGGTGTGCGGGAGCCAGCGGGGGGGGGGGGGGGCGGTGTTGGAGATGCCGCCCTCGCCCCGGCCGCCAGCGCAGGCGTCCCCCCTCCTTCACTCCTGGCACCAGTAGCCGCGGGCCGCCGTCGCCCTGCGCCTCCCGCCGGCCTGTGGGGGCCGCTGCCCTCCCGCGCCGCCGGCGCGGCTGCCGCCCCCCCTCCACGCCGGCAGGGGGCGGCCGTGGCCGTGTCGGAGCGTTCCCTTCCATGGGGTGTCTTGGAGTAAACAAAGGCAGTTGCGTGCAAAGTTGAGCTCCTTAGGTCGATGCGTCACCAGTCTGTTTCCATGTGTTTCGTACATCCTGAAGACATTTCGTGCGCTTCCGTGTACTAAGTAGTACCTGCAGTGGCAGAGAAATAAATCAGGGAAGCAACATGTAGCTGAAAGAACAAAAATGAAGTAAAAATGGGGTTTTTTTCCTTGGAGTTACCAAGGAATACTGTTAAACCAGTTGCAATGGAAGATTAGGAGAATGCCGTCATATCTATACAATGAATGCATGAATCTGTACCATAAATTAATCGAATCAGTAATTTCACTGGAAAGAAGCGTCAGCATTATCTACAAATACGGTTATACAAATTCATATATTAAAAATAAAATTTTCTAATAAAATTGCTAGTGCTTTATAGTCCCAAAAAGTGCACTGGGGGAACTTGGAAGGTAGAAGCAGGAGCTGATTATAAGGGTACTGTGTCCTAATTTATTCAAGCACTGAATAACACCTCTGAAACTGTCAAAGTATGTCACAGTCTTGAGCAGTGGTTTGACTTTTATATCTCTTTTCCCAGAACCTCTTTTTCATGGGCATCACACAGACTGAGCATCACAGAGGTGTGAGTCCAAGTGTAGCAAAGGTAAAAACAGTAAAGAAGGAAAATGAAAGAAGAATTTCTCCCAAATAAATTTGTATCTTTTGATTTTATCTGAGCTTGTGCCTTAACTCATGGTGATAGAAGGAAGCAAGCAGTTCTGTGTTCTGGTCTACTTTAAGTTAAATGCTTTGAAACTTCTAAAAATCATTATTTTCTCTTGCTGTTACATTATGCACAGATAGCCTTCAGTACCTGAGCATTATCTTGTCTGTATGAGCTGTTGGTGTCAACTTGTAATTTACATACTAATTGCTCACAATCTTTAGCAGTAGAAAAGTGAACTGTCCACAATTCAAAGGATTTCTTCATTATCAAGGAAAAGTACTTCATGGCAAAGAGTATAGCTGGTAATTATCTACTGCCAAGTGTCAAAACACATGTAAAATGAATGTTAACTGCCAGCAACAGAAGGAAGCTGATTTCTTCTGTGGCAGTTTGAGGCTTCTAGCGTGAAAAAGAAGATAATTGATCACATGTTCTATTAGCTTCAAATGTAATGGTATTTTCTGTGTGGTGATGGCGTTCAGGAGATAGCATAATAACTCTGGTGCTGTAAATTCAGAGGTGCAGGCTATATACAGAGGGACCATTCTCCACATGGGTTCTGAGGACTTCTGAGGGCTTATATCACACCTTGCCACTGGTGGGAGTTTTCCTGTGTGCACACAGTCACCCTTCCTCTCTGTGGGCAGCAGCAGAAATTTGTTGGGTTTTAAGCAGTCCCACCACCTGATCATCCTCTCCTGTGTCATCACCACACAAAGCCAGAATGAAAGGGTTAAGGCTTTTTAGAAGGGTAAATGTTTGTATTTCTCTTGGATTTAACTGGAAGATTTTTCATGCAAGTCAAAAATGTGAAACTTCTTTAAATTTGCCCTTTTGCTGTATAAGAGAGTCCAGCTGGTTTTCATTTTGCTGTGTGCAGCTGCAAATACTTCCAAAGTTTAGAAAAGCATGGTAACTTGGTGATCTGTGCCTAAAAAAGTTTTTACTGACTTATAATACAATATTTGAACACTTTCAGTACCACAGCTTGAAGATCTTTCAAAGCAATAGAAATAACCTTTTAGATTAGTCCTTCAACAAGAACATCTTCAGCTTTTATTGATTTTTTTATAGATTGCTTAGTAAACTTTTAATTTCTTTTTGCAGATTAATCTCACTTATATTTTTAATTTGCTTAATCTTTGTCATACATTTTATTTCCAACACTATTTCTTGCAATGTCATGTATAGCTTCAGTCTCTTACCTTTTATAACTTCTGAATAACTGTTTTATGGTGACAAGTCTTGCTGCATATGTGCTGTTAATGTAAATGCGATATTTTGTGTTGATTAAGGTATAAAGTTCTCGAGGACATCTGTTCAGGTTCGCATGTATAATTTCTTTTACTGAAATGTTTGACTTAAACCTTTTCTGAGGTGCTTGTATTATATTTTCTTTGCAGTGAATCCCTCTGGTTGCTTTTCTGAGAGCTTTAATTATAATGCTGTCTCTAAGACAATTATGTAATTGTTTTCATTTTCATTCAGAATTTGGTAATTATACCAAAAAACACTGAAAAATGCATCAGCTGCAATATGAAGAAACTCAGTCACTAAAAGAAAAAGTACCTAGAAGAGAAACACAGTTGAGAAGATTCTACTAATAACCGGCAAATGAATTAAAAATTAAAAAGAAATAGGGAAGATTGAGCTTTCTGGACTCCTTCAGACTATTGATTTAAATTATAAACTTTTTGTAGCTTTGATGATGGCAAAAATGTGATGCTTCAGTGAAAATTTATAAATATAGTTGTAGTAGTTAAACATTTCCATAAATATGGTAGAATAGAGTGCTGAAAGAACAGGTGTTTTATTGTTTTATAGTTTTTCATATTTAATATTTTAAAGATAGATTCTTTTTCTGCTCTCCCTAGTTCTAGCATTGCCCCAGTCACGTGTGTGTGCTTTTCATGTTTTATTGAAACAGATGGCATATCTCCTTCCAGGCTTAGGCAAGGGGAGCGTAGGAAATCTGGTAGGATTAAATTATTTTGAAACAAGAAGACATCTTTCTCATATCCTATTTCTCATACACCTGTTAGTCTTTAAAGGAGGCAGTGACAGTAAACACTCAGAAACAGGGAACGTGTTTCGGTGGTGGTGTTCTGAAAACCCTGCACTGTTCAGTTCCTATGACTACCTGTTTTTCAAAAACAGAGTCTAAAAGTTAGCAGCTAAGCTTGACTAAGCTCAACAGTAATACTTTTAACAACCAAAAAGGGAGCAGATTAGGCATTTGTTCCAGCTCTATTAGAAAACCTCTCCCCTAAATCCACCAAAGTCACACAAGGCTCAGTGCTTTTGCAAATCAGGTCATTTCTTAAAGCATATAAACATGAGTTCAGAAACCTGATTTTCAGCTTTTCATTGTGAAAATGTTGAACAAGCTTAATTTCTACAGAAATACTAGAAAGTCAGGGTTTCTAGAATTTAATATATGTATATGTGCTCTGGAGAAGACTTTGAATGCTATGAGTAAAATGGTGGCCTTTGGTTTCTGTATATATCATACATACATGCATGAAACATTATCCATCGACCATGTAGTGCAGGACGTGTGAGTGAAACATTAGTGGCATGTCTGGAAGTCCAGATGAAAAAATGGCTTGAAACAGTTAAGAGTTCCTGATTCAATCAGAGGTTTCAGGTATGGTTATGCTGCCAACAACAGTGAGTGTTCAGGCAAGCATTTATGCTGTTTGATGAATTCCCATTCGATCCTGCAGGAATGTCTGTTCAAATCCATGTCTGAGATACTTACATTTCTATCAGAGTAGTGGCAATGAGTATTTTTAATGTTAACATCTACTTTAACACTTACTAAAGTAATACAATAGTTGCATAAAATGTACAGGACATTTATTTGGGCCTCAGTCCTACTCTACTAGTAGTAAAACAGATTTCCCAGCATGAGGAATTCTCTATTTCTGTCAGCATACTTGTACAAATAGCTTAGAACTTGATCATGGAGTAAACCTGGTCAGGCAGGTTGTCCTCTTTCCTCATGTGAACATTCACCATAGAATTGAGATCTTCAGAACATGTTGTGAAATACATTTTTAAAATGTAGTGATTCTAAAGCTAAAATTCACATATAGATTTATGATAATGAAAGTTCAAAACGAAGAGTAGTACCTGCAATTTAACATATAGATCAATCTCTGACTTATAGTGAAACTCAGAGTGAAACCTATCCTGGTACTCATGAGTGCCCAGCTTCTTCATGTGACCAGGGAAAGGATTAAATGGGTCAGGGGTCTGATTTAGTAAAACAAATCCTGTTTTCCCACAGGTTTCTAAGGACCTTGTTGGTGAATACTGGATTGTTTTGAGAGGCAGAGCATCAGAAATTTGAGCTGGCATAATGAAATGTGTGCAGTTCAGAGCTGTGCATCTCTACTCCAAGTGACATGGCTATATGTGGCCCATAGCTAATCTGTGGTGTTCCGTTAAACAACAAAATTGGTACTGTTTTTAGTTTCAAGGCTGGCGAGCAATCCACAAGAAACTTGAAAAGATTCACTGATGTTTGTCCTTTGGCTCCAGAACGTGGGGAGTTGGTTTGAAGGACTAAAGTCTTGTGTGTTTTTTTAGGGGCTTGAACATGCTTGTGTCAGGTTACATTTCATATCAGAAATGTAATAACCGCAATCAAATATTTCTCTGGTTTTTCCATAACCACATTTTAAAGTTGTGCCATAGTTTTTCTCATAAAACATACTTCAGATACCATATTTTTGTTCGGCTTTCAACCATTCAGCTTTCAGTGAGCAGCCACTGTTGTCAGAGTGCCAAGACAGTGTCAGTACAAATTCACATTTGAGGAGGCAGAAGATCACATAGACATGTTAAGATTCATTATTGATCAGGACTCTGTCTCCACAAACTCAGGTTATTATTTTCACTGGAGTCAGGAGTCATACTGCCTGGATGAAGAAGTAACTTGGATCTTATCCAGCTATTGATATTTCTAAAGTAATGATATGGCTCTAAATCTGGCTGCAATGATGCATTGCCTCACCACACAGATCTTATTACATGTGCCTGTCGTTAGTAATGCTTCTGACTTTGACTTTTGAATACCTTGAACACAGAGCCAAGTGGTTTTCGTTTTAATAGGTTCTATGTGCAAGACAATCCTTTTACTCTTGTATAGTGTTGCCAGTGGATTGCTTACTACTGACAATCATGCAAGAAAGTTGCTAGATGTGCAAAATGTGCTGCTTGGGGGAATTGTGCAGTACCAGAATACTTTTATGTAAACAGGTAATCTGCACTGGTTTTCACCGCAAAAGTTCTGAATTTAATATTAAGGTCAAAATGACATGTCATCTTCCTAAAAAATTCTGATTTCTCATATTCATAAATATCTCTGTATGACTCACTCAGCAGTATTATGGGCTAATAAAAATACCTTCTGCAGCAAAGAGTATTCCAAAGTCACTGGTCCAGAGTTGCTCTTTTCTTTTTTTATAGCTTGTATGAGTTGATGGAAATGTCACTGAGCTACAAAATGAGTAATGAAACCTGGATTTGGTCTGGTGCTTTGGGCTGCTGAGGAGCATGCCTCCCTCAGTTCACAGTGTGTGACAGCACCTGTACCACTGTGGGAATACTTGTGTTGCCACAGAGCTCTGGCAGAGCAGACAGTGCAAATCCACTCGCACCTCCTGCACTGTGAGGCTGAAATGCAAACCAAGCAAGGCCAAAGTGATGTTGTTTGGAGAACAGAGGTGGTCTGAAAGCCAGAGTATTTTTGCCTTTTTTTACCCACATGTGCTACCATCAATTCAGTGCTCATGTGACTTCTTAGTCAGCCTAGATAATCAGATGCCAGGTGATACTCCTTTTACACTGCTGGGCAATATTTTAAGTAAAAGTGTGATGGATGAACTGTGTATGTTTCTCCTTTCAGGTGAGATTCTTCTCACTAAACTTAGATACTTGCTTTACAGGTGCCTATTCTAGGTCACAGCCATTTCATTTTAGTATACATGTCTGTGTATAGTGTACTGTTGTATGCTGCAGTATACAAGTGAACTATTGTAGATGTCAGCATTTACTACTGTAGGTAGTTGATTTTTTGAATCCCATACTCCAAATTTATGCAAAATATGACTGCCTTTCACTTTATTTGCTTGCTTGCTTGCTTGCTACTTTACCATGAGTACTTTCCTTTATTTTTGATTCCCATCAATCTATTTGTGATGAACAAACCTGTCCAAGAGCTTGGTCTTCAAGTTCATTAGTAAAAAGAGAAGGATGTGATTCTAAAACTAATTCTCTCTTAACACTTCTCAGACTAAACTCACTTTCAGGGATCTTGTCAAAGCCTGATTTTGGAAGGAATTTTTTTGACGTCACATGAATTCCATTTGGGATACGTGTGATAATAGGAAAAAGAATAATTATTAGTATTACATTATTTAAGGGTATACCCAGGTTTTCTGCTATATATGTGTCTCAAGGTTCTTGTATATTTTTCATTTGTGTATGTGTTTTGGGGCTATTGCCTTTTGCTATTTGCCCAGTGCTCATGCATATTTCATAAGTCAACTCGCAGAGTCATCACTGTAAATATAGTAATTTATTCCTTTTTTATTTTATTTGGCATGAGGAACAGACCTCCAAGCATAATTCTAGCTTTATATGTCTTCTTAAATATATTCTATGCATAGTATGGATTCAGTAAACTCTTTGGCCTGGTTGAAAGGATTTTCTTTTTTTCGTTTTTGTTTCATTATTTTAAATGAAGGTAAAAGAATACAATTTAAAACTGTCCACTAGAAATATTCATTAGTCATCATTAGGGTTCATAATAACAAGAATCTTGGCTTTATTTTATTTAAAATATTGATATATTATTTAGATGAAACCTGAACAAACCAAATTATGTCAATGCCTTGCTTCCTGGAGTCTTGCACTTCACCCACCACAGAAATTAGAATATGGAAAAAATAAAAGTCTAATAGCAATGAGATAAAATCAGCACAATGAAAAAAGAAGATAATTGCATTGCTCAGCTGTCATGAGGCCAGCATAAAAAAATTAAATTACTCATCTTCCATCTCAGGCACAGCCTGCTCAAACATACATATATAATTATTTATTTGTATGGGTTTGATTCCTTAGCAAAATGTCACTACTTTATAATGTGGTTTAACCACTTGGGGATTCTGTTCAAGGAGTTCATTTATAGTTTTATCATTGAACTACAAAAAACTGTTCTGGGCTCTAATATAATTAAGTTACATGCAAGTGTTTTATTATCATTAAGTCTTACTGTGTATAAGTACATGAATTCAAAGACAGCTCTCCTGCGAAGATAAGATACAATATGCAATGAACAAGGGCTGCTTTCTAGTGAAGGCATATTCCTTACCAAACCACTCTATCAGGCAAGGGTGTGCTCAAGACCCAAACATCAAAAATTTTCATATAACAATGTAATTTTGACTTTGGAGGTAAGAGAAAAATTGATTTAGACCATTTCTTAAAAGAAAAGGATTCAACTTTATAATTCATAAGTGTGTTTTTGAGAGTTTTAACCATGATTTTATGAGCAAAATATATAAAAATTGCCATATACAACAATGCTGTAAAGAAAAAACACTGGTATAAAATCTTTGAATAATAGTTGCCATTGATTTAAAAATTTTGACAAAATGTGATACTCCCACTAGGTAGAGAGTCTGAAATAGAAAGATTTTCTGGGTTGGAGGTGCAGATATACTTTTGTAGAGAGCCTTTATGCAATCCTCAAGCTGAACAAAGTAAACAGTTTTGTTAAGGCTGAGCAAATAGAATTCATGCTAATTTTCATGCAAATTGAGCGCTTTTTTCTTTTTTTTTTCCTCGTTTGGGAGTCATTCCTGATTTTTGGATAGTGTGTTAGTGGTTCGTGTTTGTGGAAGTTACTTGGATAAATTTGAATTTTCAGCCAGTGGGTTATTTGCAAACTGTTTGCTTTGACTGTTCACCCTGCTCTATTATATATTTGCTTTAGTTCATTCTATTGAATCTAATTAATCAGCCTAAATTCTAGTGTGTGCAATGCCTACCAGTGCAAATGAGAGGAACCCTTTTGCTTCTCTGACTGGCATCGGAAAGTGCTTTGGCAAATCATATTGCACTGGCATGCTTCAGCATCCTTCTTTCTCGAGAGAAAAATGAGGAAAAAAAATAAATCTAGTACAAAGAGATCTTTTTATGATGTTAGTAGCAGACCCAGAAAGTTACTGTTAATATAGGAAACTTCCTGAGCTCTGGGAAAGTCACACCATGGAAGATATCAGGATTACAGAGTGAAAGTAACTGTAAACAAAAAACTCGCTGACTGGCCATTTTTTGTCAATTTCAGCAAATATCTACTCACAGGCAAGGATCATGTGTAGTGACCCACTTCCTAGAACTGATTTTTCCACCTTTTATTTTTTACAAACCTTTTGAAAAATTAATTCAAAGGGAATAAAAAGGGTAACGTTGTGGTTGAGCATTCTGTAATCTAACTCGACGGAGGAAGTGGCTGTTTGGTACAAGTTCCCTCTCCAGTTAAGGAGGGAAAACAAGCAGCATTAGAAATTGCAATCAGCCAGTGCAATACTAGGTCTATATGATAGGTCCTTTGAGGCTATACATTTCTTTCTGCAAACTAGAGGTGGAAGAAGAGCTTACTTAGATGTAGATCCTCAAGTTATATGAGATGGTGCCAATGCCAAAAGAGATTGGGAAGCTGGCATGAGTTCAGTACAGACCCACCAGTGTAGCCAAGGGGCTGGAGCACCTGCCCTCTAGGGAGAGGCTGAGGAACTGTAGCTGACTCAGCTGCGAGCAAAGGTGGCCTTTTGGGGGCTTATGAAGCAGCAGTCAAGAAGATGGAACCAGCCTCTTCACAATGAGGCAACGTCTGCATATTGAAACAAGAGCAACTGAGAATATAAGGAAAAACTTTTCATGGTCAGACCAGTCAAGCAGTCCCTTTCAGTCTGAATTCTGATCCTCTTTTACTGTAAGATCTGACTGTCCAGGTCAAATGTACTGTTGAGTGAGTTGTTGGATCTCCACTGGTGTCTTGTCTCTCATGAAGTCATTAAAATATTGGAAAAGGAATTTGCATTGCTGCTTTAAAAACCATTTACACAGTCCACTATTGGAAGATCCTCTATAGCAACTGCTCTGTTTGAGAGCTGTTTATTGTAAGCTCATTTCACATCCTTATGAAGGTGTGACATTACAATATTCCACTGTTTTCTCTATTTTTACTGTGTTTAACTTAACATTTGAACTATATGCACAGAGTTTACTGTGACTTTTATGAGCTTTCTAATAAAAATGTTTGCCTGGTCATTTTTTAGTCTTTTCACATGTAGTATCATTATTTTCTCAAGGGCCAGCTGACGTAACTGTTTGAACACAGGCATCTTGACATGTCTTGTTCTTCTCCTCTTTTCTGTCTCTGAAGTTCCCCTGTTAATGTGTGTTCATTATTACTAAGATGAGTTTACTACCAACCCCAAAGTAGGTCACAAATAAAGCAAAGCTCTTGTGACCTCTATGAATTACATGCCCCTTAAAAAAATACCTAATTCTCCACCCAAAATTCTTTGTCCCTCACAGTAAACAACCTGTCATTGCTAAAAAAAACCAAAGTCAATAGGTTAGAAATGTATTCAGACACCTAAACCTCTCCACTACTGCTATTTCTTTTACCAGAGTTTGTTAATTTTGTCCAGTTTGTTATTTTTATAGTTTTCCCTGAGTTTCTGTGTGAGAAACCACTATGTACAGTTTAGCATACGAAGATACTAGCAACAGAAGTAAGCTGCAAGTCTCAGTCTTCAAAACCAGGAACAGAAAATGCCCTCTGAAAGTCAAAATCAAAGTGACAGCTTAGCCATGAGTATTCCATTCCTGCTTCTGAAAGGTGAGATTCTGAGGAGAGATACAATGCACTCGAACAGGATCAGCTTCACATATTTATTGACAGCTGAAATATGGCAAATACGGCCTGGAAAAAAAAAATTAAATATTTAATTCCACCTTTCCTTTTAGACAAAATGCAGTTCAATTCTTGTTTCATGAGTGGTGGGGTGGCAGGAGGAAGACCTTCTCCTTGCATTATTCTTTCAATGAGATGTTATGCCTGGGTTTTAGTACAAGGTAGTAGATGATGGATCACCTAGAGAGGTGAGACTGAGTCCTGGGTCTGTGAATAAACCTGTCTATTGCACAGGGCAATTAGACACTTTACTGATCTTCTGTTGCCCCTCTTATACTTTGCTTGTCTACTTTTATAGGAATACATTCAGGAAAGAGATGTAGTCTGGTTGGTGTTTGTTGATACCCTCAAAAGTTCTCTAAAATGTTTGAAAATCATATTCTGGCTATTTCAAAATCTAACTGAAGTCATGAGGACAACCTGAGTTCTTCACGACTTGGTGGATTTTACCAATAAGAGTTCTTGATTTGATTGCCTTAGTTTCTGTTCACTATAAATATGTTCCTGTCATAAGCGATCTGTGCTAATTTCACACTAAATAAAAACAAAACACATATGAAGAAAGACTGCAAGATGGTTAAAATATATTTTTGCATAATGACTGAAAATCTGAGTTTTGCATAGTCAATTCTCCTCTCTGTCCCTCCATGGGAACTGTTATGTGCACAGTGCCATTAGCATGCTTTATATGGAACAAGGCTCTTCTTAAGACATTTGGAATTGAAGGTGGAGAATACCAACTCCATATCCAATACTGAAAGCAAATACAGACTCAAACCAAGTTTCCCTTACCTTGTATATCCTCTGTGTGTGTCTCAGTACTATCTGTTTCTTTGGCCAATTTCATCCTCTTATTTCTCATTACCGCTGTTACTGGGAGTTATCTGGAGCTTGCTGCAGCACCAGGGTGCAACTGCTGTTTCAGGAAAAACTCCTTCAATAAAGCAACCAATGAAAGGTGACCTTAAGCCTAGAGGAATACATCTGGTGGAGTGCTTGCTCCTGAATTAATATTTTGGAGGGCATACCATTGATGCTATCACTGCCTTTAGGCTCAACGTCTGCTGCATTTTTGCTCATTTGGAGGATTAACATCTGAAGAGATTTTTTGGGACACATACTCCTTTAATACGTGCAATGAAGGTCAAAAATCTACCTCTGCTGTGCCTCTTCTCTATGATGCACTAGAGGTTTTTCCAGAGAGCACCAGTGGTGGAAAGTTAGCAGGGAAGAGTTTCCAGTGTCTTCTGGTCTCTGCTATCCTCCAAAGGCATGTCTGAAGGCAGCATCGCTGGATGTGCCCTGTCACACACTCTGGTTCCAGTCCCAAGCTCTCCTTTGAGGTGGTGTACAAGGCAGCTGGAGTCTGTGAAGCCCTGTGGGGCTGTCAGTCAGCAGAGTGATGGTAGATGGATGTCAGAAGTAATTGATACTGGGGCTTTCTATGAAAATTGATCCATAGCTGAGAGGGTGTAAGCCCTCCCTTCTGGCAGAGAAAACACTTCTCTGTCTCACAAAAAAAAGGGAACAAAAAGTACTTTGAGCTGAGGTATGGATCACATTTCTCTCACATCTGAGTTATTCACTTACAGGAGATGGCTGAGTCCATGATTATGAATCTAGATTTTGAGAGGAATGAGAAATCCCTCTTGAATGTACAGATGTGCAGGGTGAGGAAGAGTGACACAGAAGAATGAGGGATAGGCTTAGAATTATA